TTAATATCACATAATGGCATGCATTGTTCATGTGATAAGAAAAAGGAAAAAAGTTCCAATGGTAGTAACTGTGGTAGCAAGAAATGCAAATGAGGTTATGGCTGTGTCAATGATGGTGTCTGGTGGATACTATGGTCGTAGTATTAAGTCCTGAGTCAGGTTTCATGTTCTCACATTTAATCATATTCACAAATAATTTTTTTTGTAAATTTTGAACTCACAATGTGACTTGTAAAGAATCATAGCAAGAAACTGTATTATTGTTCAACACAAAAAAAAGGTTCATTTCCTTCAACTTTCACAAATCATACTACACTACTATCGCAAATAAAATGTTCAGATGTCCTAGGTAAAAATTATATCTGCAGATTATAAACTCAGCTGAAGGAAAAAGTAAAATAAGAATGTGGTGGCAAGGGTCCTTTCGACATATAATGCATTTATATAATTTCCATTTAGATTGTAAGTATATTTTAATTTTTAATTACTAATAAGTATGTAGTGTTACTAGCCCAGACCTGGTATACTAATTCTGCCCAGCATCCAGCCATTCTCATGAACAACAGATATTTTTGAAAAAATTAGATTACAAAATGTAAAATCTTTTGCAAAAAACATGAGTCCAGAAGTCCACTAGTGTGATAAATCCAAAATTCTGCAATTCTCCAGTGACAGCTACTTTTAACAACTAAGAATTACTGTAAATTAAAAAAACTAGGCAATCAAACAATTTTTTAGATAGATTTTCTATACGTTTCTATATTTCGTAAGGAGCAAAGTTCTCCTATTCATAGAATTCAAGGTTACGCCTGTGACTCAGCATCTTACAATGAAAATGTATGAGAATGTGCAGACAACCTGAACAGTTTCAAACATCAAGAAAATATGCAACACTAAATAAAATGGTGAAGACAAAATTAGACACAACTCATCCACTCACAGAGACAAAATGTTCTGAACTGTTTATTTCCACTTCAATGGAGAAACATATTCTCTATTATGTTTACAAACAAAGAACAAAGGAAAAAAGATTCCCATTGCTTCACGCAAAGAAATATTAATCATAACGATTCAACTGATAAAACTGGACAGTAAAAACTTCCCTTGTAAAGTTCAACAATAAAAGTGAACTATACCTTAAGGATTTTAAATGCAAAAAACTTGAAACACTTCAGGAGAAGACAGTAACGAAACTTCAAGTCCATTAAAACAGGAAATTTCTCTCATACGAATAACTATGAACTGTAAAAACAAGACCGCAAACTAGTAGAGCTACTTTTTCATTTTGTGGCCATGACTGACATCTGAGTATAAATTTTAACCAAACTGAAAAAACAGCATAAAAATAATTGTTCAGCTCGTTTCAAATATCCATTTTAGTACATGAAGCTATTGTCTTGAATGGTCGCGAAACATGGTCTCTTACCTTGAAGGAATAAAGTTGATTACAGGTATTTGATTACACTACCCATTCAAATTGGGGAGCTACAATGGGTAGCGTAATCCAGTCATGAATACTAGCAATGGCTAGGGGTTCGTCGTGCTGACCACACGTCACCCTATATCTGTTTGGATGATCGTTAACCTCTGCGTAGACATGTGAAAGTGAGGACAGGCTATGGCTTTCAGAGGGCTGTTACACCACGGATTATTATTATTATTATTATTACAGGTATTTGAAAACAAGGTGGTCAGGAAGATATTTAAACCTACAAAAGATTAAATAAATGGGGAATTTAGAATACTACATAATGAGGAGCTGCATAAATTGTACGGATCACCTACCATAGTGAGGGTAGTGAAATCTATGAGGCTCTGATGGGCTCGATATGTGACATGCATGAGAGAGGAAGGGGTGTATACAGAATTTTGGTGGAAAATCCTTCTGGGAAATAACCACTGGGCAGACCAAGAAGGAGATGGGAGAATAATATCAAGATGAATCTCAAGAAGTGGGCTGTGAGAATGATAAATGGATGGAGTTGGCTCAGGATCATGCCTGATGGCGGGCTTTAGTGGTGTTGGTGTTGGACCAGGGTGTTAATTAGTAAATACTTAAAGCTTTGCAGTTCAGTTATCTCAGGGATGTGTGAATGCAAAATCTCCTGACCTTACTTAATGTTTAAAATGCAGTTGTCACTTATTTTCATGCCCACTGCAAAACATAAAACTGGTGATTTTCAAGTTGCCATCACTAAAGTAATTCAGAATATTATATGACTGTTTTGCGCAATTCAAAACCTTATCAATATTCCTACAGAGTACCAAATTTACTCAGAGTGTCCATCCCAGATGTAACCACCCTACAGGCCCCACCTCAAATCCTGGAAGGTATATTAATGTAGCACAAAGGTGTTCAAGAGCAGAATTGTATCACATATTATTTTGGTCCATTAAACAGAAAGTTTCTGTGACAGCATATAGATGCAAAAATTGAGAACAACTAACACACTCACTTTATGTGGTAGCAGGGAGGAGATGCCTGACCTGAACAGTAACACATGCAGAAAAGTGCAAAGTTAAAATTGGTTAGAATTTAGACCAAGAGCTGTCCCTTAGTTTGAAGCGACATGCTCTTACGGTTGGGGTAGACAATGGAAGTGTTCAGAAAATAACTGAAGAATAAATTGTAACACTACTTTAAATGACAATCAAACATGAATTTTCAAATGTTTCGTTTTGTGGAAGTGAAATTTAGACTTCCAAAAACACTTTCAGCAAAACTCATGGTGAATTCATTCACAAATTATGTCCTATTCCAAATTATAAACAACAAGAAAAGTAGTTTACTGTACATGAAATTTTTATTTTGGTTTGACAGATTTTGTAGGAAACTTTATTTTAGTCTTATGAACAATGAATAAAGAATTCTAAGAAGCAGTTTTTCTGTTAAAGTAAAGAGACAGATTTCACTGCCCAACATGACCTAAAAACTTCACGTCATTAAACTAAAGAACTCCATTCAGCAGATTCACTTATGAAACACTAGTTTCATATTTTCATGAATATAGGCTGTACCTTAATTTTAGAAAAAAATTAAATGATAAACCACATCTCATTCATACGCCACACCAGAGTAATCAAAGTTTGTAAATTAAATTTCCTCGACACAACAGTCGACTTTAAAATATTTTCATATTCAAAAGATACCGCTTATACTATATCTCTGAGAACCAATCACAATGTTGATATTTTCGCACAGTATCTGCCAATCTTCTTGTAAAATGTAATTTTAAGTACAGTGGTTCCCCACTTAATGGTACCTGCACCTTGTCGTGGTGGTGGGGCTTGAGTACCTCAGTGACCCCAAGAGCTATGCTGGCGGTAGCATAGCTACTGGTAGGGCCTCCCTAGCCAGATTGGTCGAGGGGGAGAGGTCAGACTAAGACAGGTACCCTGGTCCTCCACGTTGGGGGTTGGTTGCAAGGCTAACAACCTTGCACCGTAAAAAGAAAGATGTTTCGAAACCTCAATCAAAGCCTGGGATAGATGGACCTAACAGAGGACCGAATGGAAGAGGAGAATTGAGGAGGCCATGGACCGAATACGGACCGGAGAGCCATAGAAGAAGAAGAAGAAGGTTGCAGAGTATCTGTGAGCATTACATCCCTTACAATGAGATAGACTGAAAAAAAGACAGAGTATTCCATTTTAAGAAAAGAGACTGTCTAATGATCTTTATACCCTCCTAATTACTCCAGTGATAATATAATTAACCTGCACAGATTCTGTGGGCCCAATCAACTACTGCCAAAGGTTAAGTTTGTGTTTAAAAAAGTTTTATCCTTGCACTCCTACCACCAGTTTCCATTCAATGGGAATAACTTCCACCACCAAGACGACGACTACAACGTGACCTTCGAAACAGTCATCTTACTTCTCATTATTTCACGCAGTTCCATTCATCCATTCTTCTGTGAAACGAGTATTTATGTATTAACAATTACTGAACTACGTGCAGATTCTCAATGCCAACAAGATTGGAAAGGCGTACTCTTTAACGTACAGTGACATCCCAAAGGCAATCTTCATGCCACATCATGATATGAGGTGTGTTCCAACAATGGCATATATTTCCAAAGTTGTTCCAACAAGGGGACTCCCAGACCCACTGTTAAGCAACAATGATCCTGTCATGCAGGTTGCATACTCTGTAGGAAGAATATAACATACATATAAACATGGGAAGATCCATAAGGTGTTCTTAACTCACATCTGAATGAGGAACATCTAAAAACCATAACGTAACATTTCCAAATGAACCACAATACATCTTGTTGCCAAAAGAAAAATATTCCAATTACAAGGCACATACTAGTTTCAGGAGATGCAGATACAGTGCTGCTTAATTCCGTCTTTTACGAAACCCAAAGTTGCATTACTGTGTTCACAGGAGCCTGACACTGGACTCTATCCTTGAATGATATTATGAAAACTCAATATGAAATTTAATAAACATCTGAAAAGATAGCATTAACACATCCCAAGTCAAACTTTGGAGTTTTATTTATGGTACTAGTCCAATATTCTCAATATGGGCAGAAACCAAACTTCACCTAATCAGGAATATCAGGAGCCACAAAAATCCATTTAGATAGATCAGAGGTATTCCCTTTCTTCAAACTTTTAATGCATATTTTTTCTAACATTCACGTATAAATTTGTTTTTTCTATATGTGCAAAGTGGCTTCTAACGTAAATCCTGACCACCACACACATCTCAGGGGGATACCTTAGTTTAACCCATTCGCACCCATTTTGGCCACAGTTGCTGAATACCAACATGCATTACTGTCTTCCAAAAAAGTTTTATCAAAGTGTACAAATGACAAAAATTTTTGATTACAGATTCAGGTAACATATATTAAAAAAAAATTTACAATTCAAGACTCATTTGTCTCTGAAAGCTTAGAATGGATTCTCAGTGAGATAGAAACTATAATTATCATAATGAAACACACACATTAGTTTAAAGATTTTAGTACATGTGTACAGCGTACCTTCATAAGTTGGATTCCAGGGCCAGTTCGGAGTGAAAGTGGCTGGGCGCAAATGGGTTAAAGATGGAGCTACACAGTATGGTTTGTGTTGAGGACAATGACTTAGAGAGTCCCTATAGCAGTGATTCTCAGACTGTGGGGCGCGCCTCACTGGTGAAGCACAGTGGAGTTTCTGGTGAGGCACATTGCAGTCAGATAAACCTGCATCTGCAACTAATTATGAATAAACCTTATTAAATTTTCTATCAACTTATATCTGTACTCATTTAAATCCCATATACACAAACAAGACTAGTTTCATTCTGTCTAAACATCACATCATCAAAGCATATAAGTGGAGATACAGCTGCGCACATTCTAACACCTGTACCAGACGGTAGACAAACTCCAGCTGCTTTCTCCCCTGGAAAAAGAATCCCTTGTACCTACAGGACAGGAGACTATGCGGGTCACACATATAGTGTAGCTGCTACAGTGGCGATAAAGAGAACTTGCCTACTCCTGCTGATAATCAAATACCAGATGTCCAGTTCACAGCTAATTACTTCACTAACTATGCTTGCCTCATATTTGAATATTGTACTATATTTATGTTAATCCATCAACACTGAATTTCCTGAAAATTTCCTTAAATGTGCAAAAAGTGCCAAGAAGTTAAGGGTAGATATTCAGCCATTTTACAATACTCATATATGTTCCACCGAATAACATAAAGAATACAATGACATACATGAAATGAATACAGAACATAATTTCAAGTTTCCATTTCCATACTAAGTATACGGATTGCTGTCTTCTGGGTTGTTACACTGTATAGTCTGGTATACTTAGTTGATAAACATCTGTCAGACTATATGGTGCAACAACCCAGAAGACAGCCATCTTCATTACATTCTATTCTTCATCATCGGTACATTCACACGAATCTATATGATCTTCTCTGGCATTAACTAATGTAGTCATTTCACTATCTGTCAAGCACACACGCCATGACAGTGCCATGGTTGAATCGAAGACAACGAAGACTGGGTTTGCACCATAGCATACTGACAATATACATAAAAACACATGATATGAATGACTAATATTAACAGCTGTGAATTTTGAAGCAGTAAAAATAAGTCATATGAGCATGATTCAAGCGCTCTATAAATTAACCTCTCAAGAGCTTTTATGTATCGTGACAGTCAAAAAGTCTGACTATTTTATCAATATACACTACACAAACTGTTTTCTCAGCACATGAAGCATATCTAAAATATTTCAACAGATGGTAGCACTACATTTACTTTTAAGATTGCGGCTATACAGCCTCTCAGAACTGCATGATCAAAAGTAAGCAAAGTACAGTCTGGTCCATTTGTATATAATTAAAATAAGGATGATGTGAAAATAAAGCAAGTAGATGCTCAGCATGAGAATCATTGGATAAAGAATATAATGAGGAACGCACAACAAGCAAAGTGTGTTAGTGGCAGGGCGACTACTTATAATGTCATATGTGGGACTGATAACCCCATGTCACCTGTCTTTAAATGCCAAGTCCAAGGTCAACATTTGGTGCAGAGTGACCTGCAACAAGGTGCATGGACCCTTTTTCTTTACCGGAGGACAGTGTGTTGCAACACACTGCAAGAAGAAAACATGAACAAGGTCATTTTCCAGAAAGACGAAGCACCACCACACTGGTCAATGTAAGTTCATGATTTCATTCAATTGTGTGGTTATGATGGCCCCACTGCTTGGAAAACAAATTCATTTGACCTAATACCACCCGATTTCTGTGTGGGGACTTATAAAGAACACGGTGTTTGCTCCAATAACCTGACTTCAGGACTCTGATAACCTGAAGATAAAGACTGCTCCAACTTTAAACACTTCCACTTTAAATGGCCTGTATTTTAACCATAAGCAAATAAATATTCCTTATACAGAATGTATGAGCACAATATGCATATCAAAATACAGAGCAATCAAACCTTCTTCAGATCATACAAAGTGTGATAAAATATTTTAAAAACTCGCCCAGAAATAAAATGATAAATGAAAGTAATGTCATCCAATTGCAGCATATGATGTAGCTGGTTTTAAGCTTATTTGTCCTTCCACACTGAAGGGTCAATCAATGTCATCGACATTGCATGGTACCAACTGCCAAGTAAACACAAGACGACTGTTAACGACACAAGACAGTTTTATTTCCAGTTGCCTCTTGCTGGTAAATTTGATCTGTATGCTTACATCCATTGTTATACAGCAGCCAGATTGAATTGAAAAGGATAAAAATAAGTCTGTCTAGAAGATTATTTATCATCTTTGTCAGAAACAAGTTGTATGATCATATGTTCCTATATTTACATCTTTCTGCTTTCAAAATTTTTTTCACTTAAACCATTCACTACCAGCTTCCTCCTGGATGATTTATATACTAGGCCCAACCAATTTTAAATGCCAAGATTGATTTGAGGTACTCGCTGAATGGCAAAATATTTAAATACCTTAATGAACATTACTCCTAAACTGTATATAACACACAGGACTCCGAAATTTTGTGCATACCTTCCGGTTACATTCTAGTACGTTCAGCGATACCTAGCGTCACATTTCGTGGATAAAATTTTTGAAAATAACACAGCACCTGGTGTCAATAATTATTTTTTACATATGCTGCATCTTCTTGTAAGACTGCAGTAACTGTTGACAGATGGAAAATTCAGCAAGCATGTTCCTTTCTCTTGTCATACATGCAAAATAATGGGTCTCTTGCAGAGGCTCATATTGGCGACATAATGGCTGTAGATTGCTGGGACGAAGTTGATGCCGGAACATAACCTAAGTCCTTTTCACCTACTAGAGGCAGCTTCATATATCCTATCCTCACTTATGAGTATGACGTTTGAGATAACCAGAATGAACTGAACAAAGCTCATCACAGCAGACAAAAAAGTTACTTCGGCAACTGCATACTTTTCTTAGCAAAATCATAGATGGCCAATGCCTCAGGTTAACAGGAAAAAAAAAATGAGACAAATGCACAAGAATTCTTCTGAAGGGGAGAAGCTCCATAACCAGCCACAGAAAGTTAAAAAGAAACATTCTTTGACAATTTCCAAATTATATTCCATAATTTTATTAATATAAAGATTAAGATTTTTACTTGTATTATAAAGCTTAATTATAAAATTACATAATAAATAAGGCAGAATGTTTGTGTTTGTGTGTTTTTCTACCCTACATTTTAATCAATCAATTTTTACACAAGTGGTTTGATTGTTCTTGGAAATACTATTGACTGGTTATAAATCAAATATCATAAATTTCTCGCATATCAATAAGTGTGATTTTGAATTATTTAATATTGTTTTATAAAATAATATCAATGGGTGATTCTAAAAATAAGGCCCTACCTAATCCAAATATGCTTTCTCATAATGTGCAACAAAACTTCAAAAAGTTTTCACACATTAAACTTTCCGCATTCCTTGCTCTACGGGCTGTATAAGAACCCCAACAACCCCAGCTCCAGCAACGACTTTACGTAATCCTAGGTATTAAACAACCAACCGAAGAAACCACAACAGATACAAACATTCAACTGGCCACTGCTTCCAATGAAAGCAAACTTAACAGTGTATTAGCCATATTAACTTGAGGGGGGGTAAAAAATTCTATATACTATACACTATAAATAGGCAGCAGTAAGACACACAAGAAGTGCTACCAGCAGCTGCAAGATTCACAAAAGCAACAATCAATGGTCGCATTACATTGGAACGTAGCAAAGTGTGTGAGCATGTGACAAACATAAGTTTTCCAGTTATATGCTCATTAAACATACAAAATATAAAACCACAATTTCTTCCCAAATTTGTTTCCACAGAATACAGTGAACGTAGATCGACTGTACATTCTCAAACTTTACACAATGTCATTTCAATTTTGTTCAAGCTATTCTGGTGAACTTTGAGGTCACTTCGTACGTTTCGTTTGGCCCGATTGTTCCAGACTTCTGTATTATCTTCAAGTAACTAATATAGCAACTGTCCATATACACTACATACATGCATAAAATAGTTGAAAGAGTACATTGCTGCTGATTTTGTAACTTTTTACAATGATTCTTTCTAGAACGAACAACCCAAGATATTGGTCCAATTCAGAAGCAGAAAATTAATTTATTAAAAGTAGGATTTGTGGTTTTTATGGTGGTGAGTCTGAACATTGCTGTCTTCTGGGTTGTTGCGCTGTTTAGTCTGGTAGAAGTATACTGACATATCAGAAGTCCTTGCTGCCTCCATTATCAGGGCTATCATCGCAGGGACCTCTGAAACATCGGTATACCTCTACCAGACTACATGGTGCAACAACCCAGAAGACAGCAATCTTTTAATTTATTAAACTGTGAATAATGCCCCCTATTTTCCACTACATTTCTTATATAATATATGTTGTACCCATACTTCATATTATGTAAACAATTTTCTTCCCTACCCGTAAGAGTTGCCACAGCAACATGCTATACCGTATGATTGGAAGCTTTCATGGCTACTAACATTACTAAAACCTTCTCAGGCCAACAGCCATGTCACTTGGTTAAAAAACAATGTTTGAGGGATTAGCTCCACCCCATCAGAATAAAATCCTGATGAAGGGGACAGAACAGAGAACCCAAAAAGATTCTACTGTTATATTATTCTAACGTAAATTATGTGCATAACACAAAAATTATGCACTACTAAATACAAAATAAAAATATATAAAATTGTTTCTTGAACAATATTGGCCTAACAGAGTAACAAATAACAAAAACAGCATATGGAATAAGTATATTAATGCAGAAACAATGTAAGTCAATGTTTCCATTGAAAGATTAAAATTTATAAATTCAATAAAACGTGTGGGATTTGAGGTTTTCACGGTGGTGAGTCCGAAAATGGCTGTCTTCTACGTTGTAGCTACAACCCAAAGGACAGCCATCTTCTTCGATAAAACACGACTGGTACTGCCTGCACATTCTAAAAGTAGGTACTTCAAATCAATGTAATCTGTAGTTGTGATTGCAACAACAACCACTTAAAAACATTTTTTCGTCTCCTGAAAAGTTTGTATTCCTTACTTACCACATGTAATTTCTGAAATCTATTCAAATATGTCTGGAAATCATTAGTACCATAATTATATCCTGGTATGTTTTGTACACTAGACTCAAACTTAAGATAGCCTCTCCGGGCTGAAATGCATGCATCAAGGTCTAGGTTTTAGTTCTTGTCGAGAAGTATACATGGTTCAACATTTATCAGTCAGTCGTAGGTCTTATTCTGTACAGGCCTAGAAGTAAATGTAGACAAAGGGTGTAATGCGAGATCAACAACGGGGGGAACATAATTATAAGTAACACATCATTTGAAAATGTTTGAAAATGTAAGTATCTGGGAACTACAATAACAAATATAAATGAGGTCCCCCAACTTAATGGTACCTGCACCTTGTCGTGGTCGTGGGGCTTGAGTACCTCAGTGATCCCAAGAGCTATGCTGGCGGTAGCATAGCTACTGGTAGGGCCTCCCTAGCCAGATTGGTCGAGGGGGAGAGGTCAGACTAAGAGAGGTACCCTGGTCCTCCAGGTTGGGGGTTGGTCGCAAGGCTAACAACCTTGCACCATAAAAAGGAAGATGTTTCGAAACCTCGATCAAAGCCTCGGACAGACGGACCTAACAGAGGATCGAATACGGACCGAAGAGCCATAGAAGAAGAAGGAGAAAAAGAATGAGGTCCATGATCAAATTCAGAGTAGAATACATTCAGGAAACGCTTGTTTTTATTAAACTCAAAAAACTGTTATCATCTCATTTGCTATCCAAAACACGAAAGATTAGGAGATATAGAAGAATAATTTTGCCTGTTATCTTGTATGGTTGTGAAACATGGTTTCTTACATGAAGGTAGACCGTAGATTACAAGGTGCCCAGGAAGATACTTGGACCTATGAAGGATAAAATATGTGGGTAATTTAGAATATTACATAATGAGCTGTGTGAATTGTACAGGTCACCTAGCATAGTGAGGATAGAGAACTCTAAAAGGCTCTGATAGGCCGGACATGCAGCACACATGGGGGAGGCAAGGGGTGAGTACAGAATTTGGATGGGAAATCATTCTGGAAAATGACCACTGGGCAGGCCAAGAAGGAGATGGGAGGATGATATCAAGATGGATCTTAGGGAGGTAGGCTGTGAGGATGGTAAATGGATGGAGTTGGCTCAGGATTGTGTCTGGTGGTGGGCTTTGGTGTTGTCAGAGATGAAGGTTTCCAGATATGGAAGGTAGCTACAAATATGACGAATAGGTAATTCCAGACAACCAGCAAAGCATGGTTTTCCAGCCAGGAGATTTGGAACAGCACTAACAAACCTTCACTACACAATGTCCTGTGTTACAAAACTTTTATAAAGGCCTTCGAATAGGATGGATTCATTGAAAAACCTAAATGAGAATAGAATGGAACTATCTCAAGATCACATCAAATGAAAGCCTTCATTATCTGTGATCACGCAGGACTTAAGTAAGGGTTCTGCCAAAAGTATCAATCAGTACAGGAGTGTTGCTACGTTAGCGTGCTTCAATCTCGTAACGAGCCAATGAAACCACTTATAAATCATGCGCTATAGCTTAACATTGCTTGGAGGATGTGTGATATATCTGAGCGCAAAATTAAAATGTTGTAACAAAACTTTATGTCCATTTGGGGAGACTGTCATCAGTTGTCATTACACAAGTTAGTTTCAAATAATCAGGACATCATAACAGTTAAGATATTCAAAAATGTTATTCTGTTAAGCTGCTCAGCCGAATTACTATACGCAATGCTTGAGAAATGTGCCTTTCCGCTCGCCACGGACAATTTAATGGGACTCAGTAGCAATACTTGCATGAAGCACAGTCTGAGACTGTGAGCTAAGTTTCTGTTATGTGCCTAGCAGATTTATATAGCATCTCTGATGCCTTAAATATGTATATAAAGACAGAAGATAAATTATAAAACCAATTTTCCTATTCCAAGATTATACAACATTGAAAATAACATACAATATACGATGTAATTAGACCACGATCAGAAAGGAAGAATCCAAAACCCGTTGATGAACGACGATTGAGTTATGAATGTTTAGAGAGACTAAAATCACAGTACCCAAAGCAGCAAGTACGATAATAATCATTAACACGAAGATAAACTTGAGAAAGCCAAAGTGATGTTAGAAATTTACAGCACACATCCCAATGACAGCCTTATCAATGATATTACAGATTCACTCACCATCTAGAAGTTCCTCAACTGCCATGCGGACTCCCTTATCAAAAGCTCGGGCATCTGCTGCCGTCTGGAACGTCAGACCAAACTTCTTATCCCCAGTCTTCCAGTGATGGAATGTGGGCATCACCTTATAGTACTCAAAGTCTTTTTTTATGATGCAACTCAGAACAACCTGAAAACCATTACGACATTAAGTGATAAGTCTTTATACATACGTGGATCGCTGGAAACAACAATATATTTGCTTAAAATGAAAATGTGTTTTGCAGTAACATGCAGGACAGGAGGGCTGTTCACGCCAATTGGATATTCAATGATCGCAAAGAAAATGCGTAACAGATAATATCACGGCAGTGGCTGCTAAGGGGAGTGACAGGACCATGTCTCAATACAAATTCAGTGCTGTAAAGTAACTGTACTATCAAAGCCAGCTAAAGTTTAGACACAAATGCACCAGAACAAAGTTTATTTGTTTCAGAAAGTGACATTGATACGCATGTTAAGCACCAAATAACACATAATAATGAATGAAGAAAGAAACAAAGAGAGGCTGTA